TGGGGGTTTTGGTGGATGAAGGGGCGGGGGGGGGGGGGACACTCACGATCCATCTTCTTCAAACGCATCTCCAGCTTCTCCATCTCCTCGTCGACGTCCTCCGAGTAGTCCTTCCAGCCCTCGGAGCTGCAAATGAAGACTATGATGTGCTGCAGGATGAGGCGCTGCATGAGGTAGGGGCGGGAGTTGCGGTTGTTCAGCAAACGCATGGCGTTCTCGCCGCGGGTCTGCTCATGGTTGCTGTGGCAGATCTTGCAGATGTAGTCCCAGAGGTGGCCGTTGGCCTCGGACTGGAGCTGCCGCTTCCAGCCCTCGTTCATGGGCGGCAAGTCATCAAAGTAGGACGCGCAGAAGCCGTAGATCAGCGCGAAGAGCGACTGGAACTCGTCGGCCCAGGACATCAGCAAGTCGGACCCTTCGAGGTCAGCCCTGACGAGCGAGCCCGGCGTGGCCCGCTTCCGCTCCTTGGGGCTTCCCGTCTCGGTGATCATGGTAGTGGGCGCCCTCGGGTTCCGTCTAGGGCCGGAAGCCGGGCGGACGGGGGGGACGCTCGATTGGCGGCTGACCGCGGCGTAGCCGACGCCCGAACGGCCGCTGGCGGCCGTGGTGTTGGACGGGCGGCGCTGGTGAAGAGAGTGGCCGCCGTGGTAGACAACGGGCCCGGAGTGCGATTGGGGGATAGGCTGGAAGGGAGAATATCCGACAAAGGGGCCGCCATGGCCCTGAGGGACACCGCTGTAGTAGAGCCCGCTGGTGTTTACATTACCAAAGGCACAGCTGCCCGAGCGGTCCATGCTGGGGTGGCCATTGGCAATATGAGAGCTGCTCGAGTGGAGACTAGGAGGGGGGGACCTGATACTCGAGGCATAAGATTGCTCGGTCGGGGGCAAAGCAAAGGTTTGACCGCTGAGGGGGGTCGAAGAACGGGCGAGTGTATCTAGAGCGGCAGCTCGGTCCTGAGGCTCGCTGTGGACGTTGAGCCACAGATTCCGTTTGCCGTTGACTTGTTCCTGGAGGATCTGGTGGTTGTTGTTAGCAAATAATGTTTTACTGAAAAGAGAAAACAAACAATCGCGTGAGATGGAAGGAAAGTACTTACCGTCCGAGTCATTTCATTCTGGCGGAGTTGCTCCTTGAGAAACTGTGATTCGCTATCAGCTACTCCTCCACTTCAAAGAACATGAGATGAGTGGCATACTTGAATAGTCCTCACGTCCTCGTCGCTGCGCCCGGCAATGCAGGACAGGGTTTTCTCGGCGTTCTGCGAGCGTGACTTCCAATCGCTAAGATCGGCCTCGAGGTTGCGGATGGTAGACTCGAGGGTGCGGACGCGTCCCTGCTCAGTAAGCGCCTTCTTGAGCTCGGCAGTCAGGCGGTCGACGGCCTGATTCATCTTGACCGTGTTGCTCATGAGCTCTTGCACGTCATAGTCGAATGACTTGAGGAACTCGGGCGGGATCTCATTCTGGCTATACATGCCCTGGCGAAGGCCCCAGATGCGCGCCTGCAGTTTGCAAGTCTGGCCGCGATGAGTCTGATGTCGATGGTTGTTAGCATGGATGGAAGAAGAGAAGGAACGGGAGAATTGAGATAGGCTTGGATGACTTTACCTTTTGGAAGGGATGGAGATCATCCTCTTCCGCGTTGAGGCTCATGGCCTGCATAGCGCTGATGAACGAATGGGTAGTAGAGCCCGGGATGAGCGAGCGACTTTGCGGCTGGGAAGCCGATGTAGAAGAAGAAGCAAGCATGGGAAGGCTGCCTTGACGCTGCGAAGAATATGGGGGGCGGGGCCTGGATAGGCGGATAGGCTCAGAGAGGGCGCGGCACCATCGGCCGAGGTGGCGGTCGGGTGGGCGAATGCTTTGGCCGCAGCCCGCAGAGTCGACTTGGAGAATGACCGACGCGGCTTGATCGGCGCTGGAGTCTGAATCGCCTGGTCTGACGGCGTTCTGGGGTCTCGCTCTTTATCGACAGCCGACTCGACCGTGAGGTTCTTACCAATGGAATCCTCTAGTCGCGGGACACTGGGCTGGGCGTGGGAAGAAAAATCCTTGTTTTCCTCTGCGCGCGAGGCGCGTCTCTCCGGACACCAGGCGTAGAGAGGCGCGCCTCCGAAGCCGACGACGCTCTCGTCGTCACTGCTGGAGGAGCTGTCGCTATCCGAATGAGAGCCAGCCATTGTTGCTTGTGTGATGAAGCTGTTTGAAAGCGAAGAGAAGAGAGGCAAGAAGAAATTACCGCGGATGGCGGAGTTGGGTTGCGAGCTTGAAAAAAGGAAACCAGAAGAGGAATTCTGGAGATGGGAGGGGGAGAGAGTGAGGAGAGAGCGGGGGGATATAGAAGTGCAAGAGGGAAACGAAGAAAACCGGACGAGAAAAGGGATAAACCTCTTATTGGCTGCCTGTTTCTTTCTTGATGTCCCGATAATCAGCCAGCTGGGAGGAGGGTACTGCTCTTAGCACGCTATGATAAGGGGCATGTGCAAGACTAGGAACTTCAGGGCGCCGCAGCCCACTTATACTGGGTGGCAGGAGGCAGGCCTTGTGTGATGTCAGATGCCACCTTCAAGTCAACTCTAATCTTTGACGAACACCAAGACAGCAGGGCAGTGCCGACCATGGTCAAGTGGATCTGTGCCGCTTGACAGTTGCGGTAGCCGTGGTCTGGATGGTGGTTTGGATACTGGCGATGTCATCTGGCACCGTGCTGTTTACCGTCGCCGGGCGATAACGGACGGCAGGCCCAAGGCGGATATGTGCGATAAAAAGCAGCCGGGATCCCGGATAGAGTACCCTGCCGGGGTTAGACATCTTTAGCGACAAGGGCTGGTAGAAGCAAACCTACGTTGCACAAGTGCGCTCCAGCCGCTAGGAAGCCGGAAGGGCTGCTCACAAAACGCTCATCCAGGATAGCTTGCGAATACAGTAGAGGAAGCTGGGACTGGGCCACCCTAGCTCGAAGTGCAACATGCTAAGCATGAAACGCGCAGCCTGGGGAATCTCATGTACGCTATAGCCCAAACCCACCATATAGACGATGTCTGAACTGACGGACAGTCGATATCTTCGTACTTAGCCGCCACAAAAAGAGCGGTGGCGCCGACCAGCTGGAGCTTTCCGAGAGGAACGGCCTTGACTGAGAGGAAGCGATCGATGTAGTTGACGGCGAGAAAAAGCGTCTCGGGAAGGAGGCAGAACATATGGTGAACCTGAACCAGCCAGTCCATGAGGACAGAGCGCATAGGCCACTGGATCTCGGTTTGGTTGTCCATGTAGTGGGCGTTCGGAAGCATCCGTGCCTCGAGGTCTCGCATGTATGCGAAAATCTCGTTGCCGTACTCGGCAACCATCCTGACATCCCATTCTTCTTCCTTACTTTCCTCCTCTATCTGATGGGCTGTGACGTACGCCTTCGCCATCTTCAACTCCTCTTCGACGCCAGCTGTGACACACGGCGCGAGTAGAGTCGTGGGGCCGCCCGTGGTGTTATCAGTATGCGATCGGTAGGAATGGACCGGAATGTAGCCCTGCTCGTAGGGCACCTTCTCCTCTTCGTCGTCCCAGTACTCCTCTACCTCGGGCGGCGCAGCCAAGCCTTTGAGCTGAACGGCGGCATCATACCCGTCGTAGTGAGTACTTTTGTAGTTCGCCTGCTCTATTTCGACCAGGACGTCTCGAACGGCACCTGCGACTCTGCAACTCCGAGGTCTTGAACTGTTGAGTGAAGCTGTCCACGACCTGTGATATATCTTGATAGATTTTAGAAAATCGAAAAATATTCCAACGCTACTAATAGTATTTCAAGACGAATGCTCTGTTTTGCATCAATTGATGCTCGCTCCGAGTGCCCACCTCCCCAAAGAACTTAATTATAGAGAAGCACAACGATAAATAACTCTGGGATTCAATTTGTAAAGGGAGATAATAATGGAGGTCAGGTAATCTTAGTTTAGGTGATGCGCGATGTGTTCTTGGAAGGTGCGGTGGTCGGTCGGTTCAAGGATCGAGATGATCGTCGTTCGAAAAGGATGCGAGTGTGCCAGGGTCGCATTTGCAACGGGTTCGCGGCCACTGGATGCACCTTGAAAAGCCACAGAAATAGCGGCCTATGGTTGGTTTCAATGGTTATCAGAGCTCCGCTCAACGCTGAATGAAAGTGGGGCTCTCCGCCACGGGACTTTGTGGCCAGACAACCACACCGCACCCACCAGGTTAGCAAACACAACCGAGCCTTCTCTCCTCCCACATACCATTGTTGTTTCTTGCTACCCTCTCCAGGCTTTCCTTCGGTCAGTCAGCTGCGTGTTGTATTTTCCCGCCGACCGTTGTTGATCCACCCCGCCCGCCAGCGCTGTCAGCAAGTCAAGTCTACCAAGTCAAGTCTGGATTTTTCGAGGCTTGACAGACTTGACACTTAGTAGGGTTAGGGTTATGTGTCGTAGATTCGCCCAGGTTTTCGTTGTCCACGGAGCTTCTCGCCCGAGTTTGAAGTCTGAACATGCCCAAAAGAAAGTGTTTTACCCACCTTTTCAGCCCGAAACTCCTGCGAGCCTGTCTCTTGGCGAGGTTGATACACACGATCAACGGATGAACGGAGTTGCTCACTGGTATTCGAACAACGCTCGAAATCCACTCTTCCCGCCTGCAATCCTCCCGGAATGGCTCTCACCCTTACCGACAATACCGCCTCCGCAGTTCCCGATTCTGACGATATTTCCATTGCGCCGAAGATCAATTACGATATCTCCTCGCCCCCCAACGCGTCCAACGCGTTTAACGCGCTCGGCTGTGCCGGGCGCACCAAGAAGAACCTCGAGGAGCAGATTCGCGATGCGAAAGCCATCACCGACCTCCCCCTCAATCCTAAGCTATACCCAAAGATTCAGGGTCCCGACAAACGGTTTTACCAGCTCCGCGCGCACTTCAAGCTGAAGGACGGACCTTCCTGGGTCAACGCGCACGGCACACTGCTTCTACGGCTCACGGAAGGTGACTCGACCTCCACGGACGGCAAATTCTGGGCTTGCCACAAGTGCTACAACATCTTTGACGCGGCGGCAACAACTTCGCCAGCCAAACACCTCCGACAAAAACACGGTATTACGAAAGACGGCGAGCTTCTACCTGCAAACACTGCGGGCAAGAGATCGTCGCTGGCGATTGATGAGCTCTTGCAAGCTCGAACCACCAAGAAGAGGAAGCTCCCCCCTCCCGCAAAGACCAGAGACCTCTTCCAAGAGCTCCTAATCAAGTGGGTTTCCGATTCGGATATCCCATTTTCCGTGGTTGAACACCAGCACTTCCGGAGCCTGCTTTCTATTCTCAATCCAACACAGGCCGACCACCTCCTTCCGAGAAGCCATGTCACCACGCGTAACTGGCTGAAAATCCAGTACAACCTGTATTTTGATGCCCTCAGAGCCGAAATCACATCCACACCCAATCCAATCCACATCTCCTTTGACGGATGGTCGTCCCCCGGAACTGCCGCGTTTTTCGCTGTCGTTGCACACTATTTCGATGCTGCAGGGAACTTTAACACCCGCTTACTGGCCCTCCCAAGGATTAAGGGCACTCACAATGGCGAAAACCTCGCCAAAGGAGTGGTTGAGGTGGTTGAGTGCTTTGGCTTCCAAGCTAAATTAGGGGTTTTCCAAGCCGACAACGCGGAAAACAACGATACGTGCGTCACCGAACTTCTCCGGCACTTCAACCCACATCTTTCCACGCAGCAACTTGATCTCATTCAGTCTCTCAAGCGAGTGCGCTGCGTGGGCCACATCTTGAACCTTGTTGCCAGAGCTTTCCTTGACGGCGAAAACAAGGAAGTAATCAGGAGATTGGCAGAGGGACTCAGATGAGCGACTTTCTGCGGAACAGGAGAGGGAGCTTCTCAACGCATGGCGAGAAACTGGGCCAGTGGGTAAGCTACACTACCTTGTACACTTCGCCCGCCGTACGCCCCAGCGCAGGGACGCTTTCGTCAGACTTTACAGAAGGTAATAGCCCTCTCTCCCCCAATAAGTACATTATATCAAGTGCTGATTTGATGTTCTCTCCATAGGCAAGCTCACCGAGGCAGAAGGAGAAGAAATTGGCGCTATTCTAGTTGACCCTGCAATTCGAAACCTTCGGCTGAAGGCTGACAACGATACCCGCTGGCACTCGGTATACCATATGATTGAGCGCGCCCTCTTCGCGATCCGCTCACCAAGTTCAGCGCCCGGTATAATCGTTTAGGGGATCTCAGCGACGAAGCTGTACTGTCTTCCGAGGATTGGGCAGTTCTGACAGAGATCAAAGCTCTGTTGGCCCCGTTCAAGGTTATCACGAAAAAGTTCGAGGGAAGGAAGCCCAATCTTTGTGACGTTGTCACCCACATCTTCAGCCTTCGCCGGGATCTCAAACATCTACACCGAGGATACAGCGCGGAGTTTGAGCGTTCGGGAGGCCTCGATAGCTCTGTATTTCCGCCCAACAACGAGCGGCCCGCGGGTCAGCTCCCGGCATTCTCGCCTCCTAGACCGGCTACGGCACAGCAACACCCGCGCCGGATTCGTCGCGTGCCTGCCCGGTTTGCTGATTACGAAGTCGACCTCCCCGGGATCGGGCTCCGCAACCCAGTTACCGCTCCTAGGCAGCAGGGCCTCTGTATCGAGCTTGGGAATCCTCTTCACGATGATCTCGAGGTGCCTTCCTTCTCGAGTCTTCAATCCAGCCTTCAATACGCCATTGACAAGTTTGAGAAGTATCTGAAGATGCTTGACGAGACCCCTGCTTATTGGGCAGCTCTTATTTTGCATCCGGGCCGCAGGATGAAGTGGGTGAGGCTATTCTACGAAGGCAACGACCAGAGGATATTAGACATCCAGCGGCGGTTTGTGGCTTACTTTGATACGTACTACCCAGCAGTCGAGCCCCTGGCACGCCCATGCACCCCAGAGCAAGTACCTGGCTTTGGAGATAGCTTCTACGATGCCCCAGTTGCCAGCGGTATTGTGGATGAGGTTGGGGAGTACTTACGGGGACCTGTGCACCCCGTTGACGACCCAGCCCAATGGTGGCTGGCCCGGACAGACGAATACCCACGCCTCGCGAGAATGGCGCTCGAAATACTTTCAATACCTCCCTGTGCAACGGAAATATGAGCTGACCTTCAGCCTCGCAAAGCTCGCGATAGGGTCACAACGACACTCCCTTAGCGACAATACGTTATCAGAACTTCAATGTGTACGAAATTGGGCGCGTGGGGAACTATTTGGGGAGCGTTGTGGCCTCATGACAATTTTTGGGGGGCCCCATCTTGTACTTGTATCTATTTCGGGTTTGGAATAACCGTATCCGAGGTCTTTCTTGGCCAGTCTTCTAAGTCAAGTCAAGTCGGCGGCATGATCAAGTCAAGTCCGGCTCAAAATTCGTCAAGTCAAGTCCGGCTCAAATTCGTCAAGTCAAGTCAAGTCCGAGGCCAGACTTGACTTGACTTGACTTGTTGACAGCGCTGATCCTGTCGACTAAGAAGGGTGTCCGGCGTATTTGATCAAAGAAGTTCGTTATTTGGCATGCCAAAAAGCAGGCTGGTTCTGCCCGCCATCGTTCAAAGCGGGGCAAGACGCGCTTCGCGGCGTTCGACAAGAGGGAACCACAGCCCAAGGGCAAGTTTTCTAATGAAGACTTCTTTCATGTCGTAAGATGTTGAAATATCCCCCCCCCTGAACAGCACAAGCCGTCATCAGTCAAGCCCCACGTGGGGCATCAGCGACATTTATCCCGCTTTGCACCGTCTGTTCAGCTTCGACCCTCGACCCGCCGCGCACGCCGCGAATGTGACTGATGCCGATTCGGTCCCCATCTCGTGCGGCCAAGCCAGTTCCATAAGTTGCCGGTCACAAGAAACCTGAGGCGCCCCAAACCTGGACGCCAATTGCGGTATCTTCTCTCCCTCGCTTATGGTCTTCATTCCCTCCAGTTTTAAAACTAGTCTTCCCTCCTGTTGCCTCGCTTGTTTTATCCCCCGCCATAGTATAATTGCCCTCCCGCTCCTGTATCTCCAATCTCGTATCCTGTATTCCCGTGTCTTGTTACTCGATCTCTGGGATATCTCAATTGACGCCCTTGGTAGGCAGGTTCTTTTTTATGTACGCCCGCCCGCTGGGCCCCTCGGGAGACAAGAAACAAGGAACCGAGTTCCGCTGCCGTACCCCGATCTAGCAGCGACTGGAACCGCCGCCAATGAGGGGGGTATCTCGGGTCTTTGCTTAGCCTGGCTTGCTTACATACGGTCGCCAAGTAGCTGTTCGGTTGGTTCGCGGTGCTCGGTCAATCGATTAGGGAATATAGACATATGCAATGAGCACGTTGAGTGAGATTAGTTCCCTATGTTACCTGACAAGCAAGACTATCATAAGGCAGCCGGCCTCTGACCTTGACACGGCAAACCCGAGCTGGTCAACCCAACAATGAACTCCTCCGAATAACCACGTCCGAGTCAACCATGTCCGCCGGTAATCAAACATTCACCAGGCGCCCTCGGAACCTCGATACACATTATGGCGCGGCTCTGGAATAGGAGAGACGGAATAGGAAAAGCAGATGAGGACGGCGCCTCCCACATCCCTCCTTAAAGGCGATGTGCCTCGACCGCACCACGGCGAGTTCCGATCCCGAAAGCAAGTGAACCCGAGCAACCGGACTCAAACAATACCGATATATCCTCCTATGTGTCAATGCCCACGCGCCAAAAAAAAAAAAAAAAAGAAGAAAAAAAAAAAAGAAAGAAAGAAAGAAAAGTAGGCGAGTCGGTCGCCGTTACTTCGTATTGCCCCACACCTCCGTCTCGATGGTGGCGCGGTTCAGCTGCCGCCGGCGAACGACCATCTCGGCCTTATTGTCCGGGTCGAGAAGCAGGGTCAGGTGCGGGGTGAAAAACCCACCCTCGCGGTTGATACGACAGCCAATCTGTAGTTGCTTAGCGACGGTGCCAAGGGGGCCAAGCAGGACGAGGTAATTCGCCCGGGCCAGGTTGAGACCCTCGGCGATGATGCCGACGGTGGTGACTAGGACTTGGGGAGAGGGGGACTCCGTGGGGTGGTAGTATTCGCGCCGTAGCTGGTCGAGAGAGACGGTGACGAAGGGCTCTATAGCAGCCACGCGGTTGGCCGCGCTCATGCCGCGATCAACCATCTGGACGGGGATGTCGAAGGTGTTGGCGATCCATAAAAACGCCAGGTGGGCGACGAAGGGCGAGTCAGAATAGACCAGCATCTTCTTGTCGGACACGACGTCGTTCGTACCGTGCGCTGGCTCTCGGTCGGCCAGCATTTTGCGGATCTGTATATCGAGCTGCTCCATCTTAGTGCTGCCGTTGCAGATGTCGCGCCAGAAGGGCCATGCCTTAGATTTGGCCCGGGCCTCCATGATGGTGCCCTTAGTGAAGACGCCCCGGAAGTCCTCGCCGGTGAGGCTCCAATCGCAGTAGGGCGCTTGGGAGTGGAGGCGAGCCAGGGCTGGGAACGTGGCGCACAGCCTGAGCAGGCGGAAGCTGCTGCTAGTGTTGGGGGCGCCGGCACTGATCTGGCGGACGAGGAGCTCGAAGGTGGGCTCGGTACCTCGACGATGTTCTGGCAGCTCCTCCCACCTGGCGTGGCGCTCGTCAAGCAACGCAGGCGCCTGTGCGTTTGGGGGCTTCAGGTAGCGGCTTGAGGACGAGCGGCTAATCGTAACGTGGACGGGACAGTCCTCGACGTTCAAAGTTACCAACAGGCACGGTTGACAGCGGCGCGCCGGCAAAGACGTCGTCTCGGCGGCGGCGGAGGGTGAAGGTGAGCACGAGGGCGCTGAGGTCGGAGAGGAAGACCTGCTGCTGCTGCTGATCCGATTCCGATTCCGAGCCGGCGGCGGCGGCGCCGAGGCCGCGGGCGAGCGTCTTGTTGTAATGCGAGGTCAGCCGCTTGAGCGCCTGAAGCGTGGACGTGGCGGGCGGTCGGAGAGGGCTGCTCCAGCCGGCGCCTGGGTGGTTCAGGTGCTCCACCAGCCTCTCGAAGTCCGCCGGGTCCCGGGTCATAGGTGTGCCCGTCAGGGCAAGGAGGTAAGTGGGACTCCGAGCGCGCCACTGCCAACGCCGGATGCGATCCCAGAGCATGGTGGTCTCGCCCTTGATGCAGTGGGCCTCGTCCACGATGATCCTGCCCGGCTGGACGGCGAACTGGACTTACGGTGGGCGGCCGGCGGCGGTCGGCGGTGACGGCGAAGGTCGAATCGATACTCTTTACGGCCGACGTGTTGGGAATCAGCAGGATGTACCGAGACTGGCCGGGCTTGGGTTTGAGCCTGGCGCCTTCGTCTTGCAGGCCCGGCTTCTTGCTGCTCGTGAAGAGGCCCGCGGGGTAGCTTGGCGATGTTGATGTCGGCGATGAGACTGCGCACAGGCGCGGGATCGTCGGGCAGCGTGAGGAGGATCATGCCGTCGTCGGGGCTGGCGTCCACGAACTTGGAGAACTCATAGGCCCACGATCTCAGGATCAGCTTAGAACCAAACACTACTGTAGGCCCGTGCGAGAGGTCGGCAGCGATCCTGGCGGACCAGCTGCCGGGCCTCGCAGGGGCATTGGAACCCGTGAGTGTAGGTTCCTGACGGGCACTTGGTGCGCTCGTCATCGGCTGCGAGGTGCTGGTCAGGGTGCCGGGAGACGTGATCGGCCTGCGCGCGCAGGCGGTGGCTAAGGACGGCGACGGCCAGGGACATGACCGTCTTGCCGAGTCCCATTTCGTCAGCGAGGAGGGCAGTGGCGATACCACGGGCCGCCTTGCTAGCGAACACCCAGAAAAAGGCCCAGAGCTGGTGGAACCGGAGGCCTTTCTTCATGCCCGGAGGGGTATGTGTGAAGCCAGGCTTTAGGACGTCGCTGGGATCGATGCCGAAGAATTTGCACATGTCGCGGCGGACCGCCTCAACGATGCTGGGGTCGATGGGTCCTGGCTCGAACGCCTCTCTGTCCTCGGGCTCAACGAGGTCGGACTCAGCGAGGTCGGACTCAGCGAGGTCGGGCTCGCTACCCGAAAGGACGTTCGTAGCATCTCTATCACGTAGATAGGGATCAAGTTCGTCGTCCGTGAGGAGATCTACGACCTCTACACTAGGTAACACCGGCGCGATAACGTCCTGAGGAGTCTGAGCTGAGGGCAGCGCCCAGATACGGATGCTCACGGGCAAGGTAGGGTTGTAGTAGCGGTTGGGGTCGAGAGGGACGCCCGAGGTCTTGAGCTGAGTAAGGAACAGCCGCCATTCGCGCTCGTCGGGGATGAGGGCAAAAGAGGTGCGCCGGTCGGCGTCCGCCGGGGAGACATACTAGATCCGTAGGTCGGAGAGGCCGAACCAGGCCACGAGGCCTTCGAGACGGTAGCGCGCGGGATCGTCGAGCGGGCGGGTGATGTCATCGCCGCGCACGATGGCAGATAGGGCGTCTACCGGACACTCTCGGGGAGGGTCGAACGCAGATACCCGGACCAAGATGGTGTCGAGGGAGGGAGGGTAAGACCGAGGGGTCGATTTACAAACTAGCATCTGGGCGCAGGCAGACCCAGGGAGCGGGGAGGCGGGCGAGCGAGTCGTGTCCGATGGGGTATGTGGGGTGGGACCCGGGCCAGGCTCAGGAACGCCCGGCCGTTGCCGCTTGGGCGTGCTGTATTGACTGTGATTCTCGCCAGCCCGCTTAGAACCGCGCGTGCTAGACGTGGTGGTCTCCATGACAGCGGATATAGGTGGTTGAAGTTGTGCACCGTCGCGGCGCTGGGAGGAAGGGTCGGTATAGCTGCACGCGGGTTCATGGTCAGCGCCGGGCGACCCACGAGAACGGGGTCGGCAGATCGGGGGAGAAGCTTACCTAACGTCCATCTCGGCTGCAGCGATCTTTTGGATGCGGCTCGGTGATGGTTCCTGCGGCAGGTTAGGTCTGGCGCCTTAACAGAGGAAAAAAAAAAAAAAGAAAAAGAAATAAGTGGAAGGGTTGCCGTACCTGGTCTCGCTCGTCGGAATTGGGAAATCGAGGCGGCAGACGCGCACGCGGTTCGCGGGTGTGCTCCGACGCGGTAGAGTCGAATTCTCCCGACCTGCAGAGGATCGGGACCAGCTGCTGGCCGCGCGAACCGACAGCGCACTGGATTTGTGACGACGCGGCGAGTGGTAGGTTCGATGGTTCGCTCGCACTGCTCAGAAGATCGAGTATATAGCATTGGACAGGGCGAGAAACACACGGAAGGCCGTCCATGCAGCGGTGCGGTGTAGGTGAGGGAGAATGACGAGGGAGTTACGAGTTGAGGAATTGTTTGGCAGAGTATCGAGGACGCGTGCGAAGTCCGAGGGGTTCCTACCCATGCACCACGCCACACACGCATCGCAGAAAACAGGCAGGGATGGGAAAGTACTTGTCACCTTCGAAGATCATTACCTGTTCCAAATCACAACCTGGAATAACTTTCTCATAATATCAAGGGCGCAAGCATCGTGTGCGGTAAATTGATGAGGCCCCGGCCCCGTGCAAGCTCCCGCCTAGCTTTGAGTTTCCTCAGTGCCCCTCCCACTCCAACTTCCAACCGGATAGCCAGGAGCATCATTGCCGTGAGAAGCAACACCTCTAGTCGTTGAGCGGGCTCGCCCAAGCGAAATCATTGGGGATCTCCTTGAGATCAAGAACGTCTGGAGCCGGGTGTATGTGGGGCCGAGAACGGCGCATTCAACGGCGCATTCAACGGCGCGTTCAACGGCGCGTTCAACGGATACGCCTCAAAAGACCCGAACTCCTTCTCGATGTGAATCAAACGAGCCCGGATCCTCGGTCCCACTCCGCCAGTAACACAGCCCTATATCCGCTCATGTCCATCTTTTATTTGAATCGACGTGTGTTTGCCTTAGCCTCCATTGAGTGTCTGCCATGAACTTGCTAACTCGTCTGGGCTAAGTAGCACATGCCGCTGTGTTATACGAAAAGTGTTAACAGGAGAGAAAATGTTTGTCTATCGAATCAGTGGAGGCTCTGAGAATCGAAATGACTGGCAAAAGCGTGGGTGGCACCAAGAGGGTGGTCTGCCACAAAAAGTTATTGTAAGAACTTCATTTCCAGATCCGGCCACGGCCCACGGAAACACTCGCCTCCACTTCAATCTCATCTCTCTCTTCGCGATAACGAGCCTCGGCAGTAAGAAAGGGCTCCGGTTAGTGTTTGGCTGGTGCATTTGAGCAGGCTCACTCGTGTCGCGGAACTCCATGGTGGGACGACGTTGTGGCGGCCGATGGCGCCGATGGAGTACGCGTTGAGGTCGCCCGCAGCTTTGTCGTAGACAGGCCCGTCATCGTCCCAGCAGTGGTCGAAGAGGGCGACGACGGCATCGGCTTCGATTAGGAGAGCGCAGATGATGGCGATCTCGAAGTCGGCCCGCGTGGCTGGGCGACGCGGTCGGGGTGGGTTCATTGGCTATTGCGCCGGAGTCGGCTCCTGGAAGGCCGGTCGGTTCCGTGTGGGGTCAAGCTCGGTGGCCTGTGTGTGATTTTGACGAGGTGAGCTGAGTGGGTTTTCGAAGTTGGGCCCTCACCACGCCCTCTGCCTGGAACCCCTCTTCTGCAGCCTGACAACTCTGCCTTGCCGGCGCTGACCGGGATGGCTAAACCCAACCAACCCTTGGGATATTTCAGCGCCATGAAAGCCATCGCGACCGATTGTTCAATTGATCGTGCCCTGCCGGCCCGCTTGCTGCGGCTTCCCACCGCGGATCATCGGGACGTGCTCGGTCCGCCAGATTGTGCCTTCTCTAGTGCGGAACCTTTCAGCGGGGCGCAGCACAGAATGTTCAGCTGTGGGGGAAAATAAACCAGAGCTCCCTGCCGCGGTGTTCACTGTGGCAAAACGCGTCCCCCCTCCCACCAGCGCGTCTTCCATCGACCACAGCCATCACCAAGATCACAGCTGAAGAGCTCTAGCGGATGCGCATCTCTGTCGCCCAATTTTACGCGATAATCCCCATATCGCAGCCTACCACTTTCACCGCCGCCTGCAACTGTTCACCACGCTCGTCATGAAGCAGAAGTTCAATCTGAGCTGCTGTCGGAGTTGAAATTTGGTGTCCCACCACTTCCTGAGGCAATCGGGCTTTCCCAGGATTTCAGCCAGTCGAGTATCGCCGAGCAGCAAGCGGCCACACCACACACCTCATTCAGTGGGGTAAAGAGGAGGAAAGAGCCAGCAGCTGGCGGACGGGAACCTTTTTCTCCTGAAAGCATTTCTCCCCCAACGACGTCGACATCGCTACGCTACAGTTATGCATGCTGTTAGTGGCCGAGTTTGTCATGGACATGTTGTGGCCTTCGTTAGGACATGTCGTTGAGTACGCCGGTTCTATCGCTATAGGCTGCCAACCCGAGAAGTGGGAGAGAAGGGCGATTGGAAAATCGGAGGCCCTCAATGCATTAGCCAAGGCACTCTTGAGATTTCTCTCCATATTTAGCACTATGCGCCTTGCCTCGGAACAACTGGGCTTACGGTTCATCCTACCTGCGATTGTATATCTGGTGACTACCGCTGGGGTGATCGTTGTCTTCTTGGCGCCATCGGCTCAAGTGATACAATACCGAAGGGCAGAGAGGGATGATACCTTGTAAGATTCTTCCTCCATTCCGTGACCTAAACTTACTGGTGAAGTGAAAGCAACCTACTGGAGGCGCAGCAGGGGGCTAGAGACCCATACACGGCGGCGGTAAAAACAAGGGACGGGCCCCGAGTCGCCTGGAAGTTGATACTGCTTGCTGGGGTAGCCTTTCTTACTCCCTCGGCTGGAAAGTCGGAAATGTCCCTCTTTGTATCAGACTTGCTCACCAGATACGTTCTGTCGACGAGACATCGTGACAAGATTGCTCTGAGTTTTCCCAAGGCCAAAAATGCCGCGTGTTTGCGATACAACTAACCACCGCATGCGCAAGCGTTTGGCGGATCAGGTCCCTACCAGTGACAGAAATTCGAGGTTCAGTCTCGGGGGAATCCTATATGGGAAGACGTGTTCTGGGACAGCAGATGGAGAAACCAGCTGGGAGTGGCCCCTGCGTTGCGTAGCCTGAAACGACTGAGAGGGCTTTCAGTTTTCTATTCGGGTAGACTAGCCTTGTTAGAAACTTTTGAAAGAGCCATTTTCTACACTTTCTCGTTCTTCCTATCCACAAACACACCCGAGCCTTCCAACCCCCCGTAACGACAAGTGGCGGCATCTCTATACGGCTGAATTGTCGGGCCAGTCATCTGGCACCAGATCCAGCTCCCACGTACGTGGCTGCACGACATTCTGAAGAAAAGGAGGGTTGAGGATGCCGCGCCCCGCACCTCGGCCCGCGTCGGACACGGGTGAACTGCGAACTGGGGACGGCGAAGTGCGGTTGCCTTATCTACTCGCCCCCTGTCTCTCACTCTGCGGCCTTCATTCCATAAACTCGACATTCTCATGACTTAACAGGGGCTCGCTCTCACTGTTTGTGTTACCATGGCTTCTGTTGCGATTGGTGTATCCATCGTACTTCCCAGACCGGAATTCCTCTGGTCGACGAAGTTCTGGGCATTCACTCACGCAGTTCTCTGGTATGGTTCTTTTGCCTGGACTGCGGTGCTTCTTTGCTGCGTGCTGTGTGTACCGGCCCCGGGCTTTCGATTTGGTGGCTAACAAACGCTACTAGGATTCACCGCTATCCGCGGCTGCTTGTCCACTGCGCCAGCCATTGGAATACAAGTCCAAAGTACCGAACTGGGGAAAACCAAGGTACACGCCAGCCGACGTCACGGTGGTCATCCCTACCATCCACAACCGTCTCTCGGAGCTGCGGCCCCAGCTCGAGAGCATCTTGGCCTGCCGGCCAGCCAAGCTGGTGCTCGTGACTACGTGGAGCAAGTATAAGGCGCTAGGTCGCGTGGCTGAGACGTTACAAAATCCGGGCTCCACGGAAATTGCAGTGCTACACGTGGACAAGGCAAACAAACGACTGCAAGTTTGCAAGGCGTTCGAGGACGACCATGTCACCACGGCCATCACTGTTATGGCGGGCAACGATGTGGAGTGGCCATCCACCTTGATGCTGTGGCTTCTGGCGCCTTTTGAAGAGAACAATATGGGCGGTGTCGGGACGTGCCAAAGGGTGAAGCGCCTCGTCGACGGAGATATCATGACTCACATCTTCAACTGGCTCGGCGCCGCCTACAAAGAGCGGCGGAACTTTGAGATCTCGGCGACGCACAACATCAACGGCGGGACATCTTGCACACACCGCCACCCCCACCCCGTTGGCCTTCCTGATCGACCCGCTCTTGCTGTTCTCGTGCTGGTGGGGTACGGAGAACTGGGAGCCCAGGAATCGGTACGTCCTACTGGGAGCGGAGGCCACGTTCATGTTTGGTTTTACCAAAGTAACTGTGAAACTGGTTCGCCTCTTCCGCCAGAATCCGCGTGACCTGCCAGTGTCGATCATTTTTGGCTACTTGCACGGCCTAATCAAGCTACATGCGCTTTTCACTCTGAAAGAGGTAATAGACGCTCCTTCGCATGTTCTCTATCTGCGTAACATGATTATTGATTTCTAACAACGCCACAGACGTCCTGGGGAAGCCGCGAGGATGGCGATGCGCACAACACCTTCCGACTAACTACAGGATAACCCTTCCTACAGCCAGAGTTAAGCGACGCCATTCAAACCAGAATTACCAAAAGCGCGTGTTGGAGGATACGCTGCTTTTGGCTGAGGAAGATGTCATGTGGAACCCCGCAACAGACCGACCACAGGGAAAAGGGGTTCAGGGGTAAGTAAACAAGAGTCCCGTGATATAGGTTCCCGTGCAGCATTATCGACCATCTTCTCGAGAGACCAAGCCCATGATGGTAGAAAGCGACAGACTCTGGACCCAGATCTACTCCGAGCGCTATGCCTTTGACGCCGGTGAGTTCATACAACACCACTCTTTCCCTTTATATGCGCAGCCATTGCGCTAAGACTAACCGCCCCCTTCCTGTCTAGCTCCCCAGGATGCGGACCACATCAAGCTGCTCACCAAGATAGATATGGTCAAGTTCTTTAAGGAGTACATCCACCCCACCTCGCCGTCGAGAGCGAAGCTTGTCGTCTATCTTGAGGCGAGCGGCGTGCCAACAAAGAAGATTTCCGAATTGATCCGGACGCTGGGGCTCGACACCTTCTGCCAAGGCCGCCACTAATCTTCAGGCCTGGCTGGGTGGGGCCGGCGGCGATGTGAATAAGGAGATCGTTGATCTCCTTCGCGGCTTGGAGGTGTCGGGGAGCAACATCAATATGGCGGCCGTGGCTTGGACGAGGAGTTGGTCGGTGTATTTAATATTCTAATTTTACTCTTTACTTCGAGGTAATCCTCAATCGTCGAGGGTAGAAGTGGGAGAGGGCGCCCGCGGTTTGCTAAGCCGGGTGTATGGCAATGGTGAGGAGTGTGCCGTAAGGTTAGGCAGCAATAATAACCAGACACCGGGTACTCAGTCGAGTTAGTCCATCCTCTCCCAACTGGCTCCGTCGGTACACCTCAGAATCTCTGCGGAGTAGTACTTCAAAATGAGGCGACTGTGCGTAAAGCCCACTCGCTCCCTCGCCCTCCTTCCGTCCTCTCTATCACACAATTTACCGCACTGTATAGTGAAACTACTTTTGGCACGCCCATTATGGCTTTAGTTGCTTTTCACACACGAAAACCCGAAATCTTTCCATAACCCCAACCCGAATTTTAGCCTTTTCCAGAGTGCGTCGTCTCTTCAACAATCAATTCCCACTTCCCTCGTCTTCCACTCGTTCTCTCCTCTCAGAATTCAACTTCGGTGGGCAACAGTCACGATGCAGGCCCGTTCGTTAATTCTAGCACTTTTGGTGCTCTGCATCAACGGATTTACTTGGGGAAATGGGAGAAGTGGCCGGGCTGGTAAGTTGAGTGAGACCTTTGAGGATGCGGCTAACAGTTATCTTCTGGTAGTACCAACCTTAGACAAGCCAGATGAGCTGCCGTCGAGCTCTCGTCTACCTAATATTTATGCCGTTGCGCTCACCGAGCTTCAGGAACTAGAGTTACATCCTCTCTGCCACCGCGTGGCGGCGCGGCTCTTGGTGAACAACTGCGAATTAGTGGACGGCAAGGACGAAGCGACAATCCTCACTGACAGCGGACAAAAGGTGCGCGACTTTGTCGACTCGTACGCAGCTAGTCTGGCCATTTGCGATCTTGAGAGAGGAAACTTCGTGATTCCGGCGGAGTGCGCAAAATTCCGGGAGCCGTCGCTTAGTCAAATCGCCATCAGGAACGAACCCCAGCTGCATGTGAGCTCGGGAGAGATTGGGCTATGTCTCGCAGCTCTGGCTGCATCAGACGCGGCTTGGAATACCTGGGTCAGCTATCGCCACAAGGCGCTACGCTTTTGCGAGGCTGCGAGGGCGGACCATGAGAAGGGTTAGTGCTGTTGACCCAAGCGACTAAGCGCCACTAATACTATCGCAGCAAAAAACATTTTGCTTTACCAGCGACTAACACAGGTTATCGCTCGGCTTACCGATAGTGTCGAGGCCGAGCTACAGCAGCGGCTAAATGATCTTGATAGCCGCGCCCGCCAGTCAGTGGAAAGACTCGAGCAGCTCACGCCACAAATCGGGCGATTGAGTAAAGAACTGGCAAAATTGGAAAGCTACCTCTTGGGAGACCTGGACCTGGCACTAAGACAGTCCTCGAAGTCCATCAAGGATGGGCTCCAACACGCCGACAACCTGCAGCAGCTGTTGAGAATGTTGCTGGCTAATGTTGTGGAGAGCAATTCTCAACTAGCCTTGGCGTATGAGCAATCTCTACAGCGCGCATCTCAAAGAGTTAACGACGACATGGGGGCTCTGGTAGCTGTGTTGTCTATAGCCATGACGTCCTCCAATTCTCTACAGAAGCAGATAGTAAGCTATAACAACCCTCAACCCTAGGCTCGCCGGCTCACTCTCCCAAGCAACTGTCAGACAAACAGGCATCCATGCTCGCCCAACGACAGGAAACCCTCCACCACGGCATGGACCGGTTGGCTATAGCAACTGAGACGCTGTCCGAAAAGTTTGAAGATCACTCAGGTATGCTTAAACAAGTAAGCAACATCACCAACGATATTCTCGATACCTTGGAAGAAACTGCTGTCGTGGCATCTTCTGTCAACGAATCTTTTAGCCGCGCGACGACTCTGCGCCGGTGGCCTTTCGCTATCTTTCCCACAGCTACTCTTGTCCTAGGCTCATATGGGCTTCCACCATCGATCCTTCGAAATCTCGCCCTGCTGGCGCTAGGCGGGCTGGTCGGCTTCATGGTCTCGTCTTACGATCAACTCACGACCCAATTATTTGGTGCTTTGCAAGCTACGGCAAACATCACAGCATCTTCGCTCTGATGGACGATGTGGAGATTAGAAGGGGCTACTCCATGGACATCCTTTCTTTCCTACAACAAGAGGGACCGTGCCGCGCAGCGGCACGCCAAAGGAAGCCTGGAGGAACATGCTGGTGCAGGTAGCCCACATAGCGGTATGAGAATTCCGTCGTGCGATCGATATTAGGGCAAGGACAATTGTCTATTTGATCAAATCAAGGTCGGGTTTAGTCGTATAGGCGCGCCTTCTTCCCGCTGTGGATCTTTTGCTTCACCAGTTTAGGAGAGCTTGGTTCCTCACCTAAGACACCACGACTAGCTGGCCCCGGAGGAGCCGCAAGCAGAAACCCGTTCTCGTCACCAAACCGTGCTCGAAACCCCACTTCGTTACCTCAGATTAAATCTTCTACCTCGGCGGTTAGCCGTAAAGTGCCGCTGGAGTCAATCATGGCGAACGCCGCAGAGACCTTGCGGTAGCTGGGGAGGCCCCCTCCAGGGATCAGGAGGTTGTTGCGGGCAGAAAGTCGGTGACGGGATGTGTCATGTCCGGGAGAGCGAGGAGCATTGATGATGCCCGATTGGATGAGGAACCGGAGATATCACCCCCCCCGGTGGTAATCGAGTTAACCTGTGTTCAGCGTGGCGATCGCGGCTGCATCTCGACAATACGAAAGCAACATGGGCACAAAGCCAAGGAGACGGGCAGAGACAGGGGCCACCAACTGCTAGTGATGAGACGGGCCGCTCGACATCCTCGACTCGGCCTGGGGATACGGAAGCGCCATCGGCAATGGCTGATCCGCCCAAGAGGAAAAGAGATTGAAATGGACGGGGGTGCGTTACAGTCGCCGAGGGAGCCGGGGATGTGCCCTCCGAGCTTCCCACCACTTCCCGAGCCATGTCGGTCGTGCTCCTGTGAGCCAAATGCCGCTGGTAGATCGTCCTGGCACCGAGAATCCCAGTTCCGCGTGCCGGACTTTACTTAGGTCATCCCCGGGGTGAGTTTGACGTGTAGCGGATTAGGGTATTGGGACTTTGTACCAAAACCTCGCTTGTTACGCTTAACTATCAGCTTATTGGGTCGGGAGGGTCGGTGCTGGGACGAGGATCTCCTAATCGGGCCGCGGACGCGGGCACAGCAATGAGCTGCGTTTGCCAAACACCGAGGTGTAAACGACACTAAGGAATCGTGGAATGCGGAAGGAATTTCCCGGAGCGGACGAGAAGATCTCATAACGCTCTCGTCACGGGACTGCGGCTAGTACAAACACACCAAAAAAGCCAATGGCATGGCATAGGCGAGACAAGAACGTGATACAAGCAGTCAGCCGCGCAGGTCACGGAGAGAGCGGTTATCTTATTTAGCTACTCCTGTTTAGTTATCGAACTATTTGGAATTTAGAGCACCTTCGACGTCGCGTCCGCGTGCTGAGCTAGATCAAACAGCCGGGCGTTCAAACTCTTTCCTATGTTGATCAATGAGGTGTATGCCGACGAGTGTATGCTGAACGAATTCCTCCAAGGCAAATCCTACCTTTCCTTGTGCATGCACAAGGATCCCACTTCCCGTTTCCTGCCCACCCCCCCTTTGTGACATTGATGGCTGACCGGCTGAGAACCATCCCGCGCGCTCCCCGAAACAGAGCCATTTCGTACTCATGAAATCTCACCGGTGACCAAGCAGTTCATCACCCCGTTGGGTATATGTACATCTGGCACTCCCTGCATGCAGCGGGTTCAAACTGCATTTTTCTGCCAGCCACGATGGTGGCCTTGTCCGCCTCGCCCGCCTTGCCTCGGAGTCCCATGCACTCTGCCACTTGTCCAGATACAGGACGACATTGCATGTCCCTTATCCCTCCCTTGTGCACCCATGTGCACCGTGTGTTTTGGTGTCGCCCCTGTCAGTATGGAACGGATGACGTTGGGAAGGTGATCAGATCCAGTGACCACGTCGGCAGCTGAGGTGTGATGAGACCAAGCCTGAGTGCAGCTGTACCCAAAAAGGGTTCGAATGTTCCGGCTGGAAGGCAGCGTCAGGGGTGAGTCGAGGGCCCCCTAGTACCCTGTCTCTGGCCGGCCTGACTTACACGGTAAGAGGCGTGGCACCACAAGCGTTCACCGGTCAACTTAGCCCGCGCCCCGGCCTATGACCATGAGGAGCTTCGGAAAGATTAACATTGCATTTTATCCGCTCTGTTTACACATACCCTGTGGTGATTGACGGGCAAAATGACAACCCGAGAGCCTACGCTAAGGGCACTCTGCGGGGTGACGTCCATCGCTGATTGTGGTTTGCAGGAGCAAACTCAAGTGACCACAGAGTGCCAGCCTGCTCCAACGCTACATAGTAACTCGCGCATATCTGTGATCCCTGGAGACAGGATTTTTTTTCTTGTCTCGAGGGGTCTACCCCTGCTTCGAGGCGGGGACAAGGGATATGTCCGATGCCGAGAGATCTGGTGCATGTACAACGATCCCGCTTCCTGTTTCCTCTCCCCCCAACCCGACCATCATTGAGGGAAGACATGCTGCAATGCACAGTGGCAAGACGAGGAAGCCTCTCGTTCTATCTGGGAGGGAAAGCGCCATCGGATACAAGGCATTGGTCACCAGATATGAAGGCAGTCCGGGCGACGATCAAATACGCAATGCCAACAGGAAGGCTGGAGCTGAATGAGGAGGAGAGTCTAGACCAGTCACAGTAGAAGAAGCCGACACTCAACACCACGAGCCTCAACCACGAGCCTTAACCAGCAGGTCCCGCTTTAGCTGCTGAAGATAGGACGCTGAAAACTTGGAGAAAGTAGCCTCCAAGCTGATCTGCTAACAACAACCGAGGCAAGAGGTAAATGGTGCAGCGAGAAAGAGGGAAGAAGTAGGGGGCTTGTACGAGTTAAAGGCAAAACGACTTGATCCGGATGTAGTTAGCGTGCTAAGGCTCTGTAGGCCCAGTGCCTCCGGGCGAAATACATTCCATCCATTCTTGATAGCCTCTATGTCGGAGGGCGGGGGTGAGAGGGGTGGGGTGGGAGGTAGGTGCCGGGACTGCTCTAGCCCACTCCTCACCCTTTGGACTGGAGCAGTAGGGCCGGCCATCCTGTTCCACTCAGGGGTTCAGGGGGGTGCTCCTCTGGGCAACTATGGGTGGGTCGGCAGCTCGTCGGTCCGTGCAACGGCGATGGAGATTTTTTCCCCCGTTTTCAGGGCGACTGCGTGTCCCGAATCGTCCTTCTTTCCACGCCCACTGCGGCCGCGTTGTAGGTTGCGCGTCGGTGCACGTGGCGTGGTTAGATAGGGCTTCGGGAGAGCTTTCGATTAACGCTGGTTTTGAGAGTTTCGGGCCGAAACTATTGTTGGTGTGTGGTGACGTATGGTCACCGAAATAGTTTGGCACCTTAATATAATCGCAAATTAGCCATAACTAACAACAAATGCCGATTTCCCCATCCGTATACCTTTGCCTAAGACCCCCAGACTAATTAGGATGTGACCGGCGGGTATAATACCTGCTTTAGACCACGATTCCGCGCCGGTTTTATCACCGCGGGATTCTAGAGTCTTCAGGTTTGTGATTATGCGTTCCCTTACCGCTCTAACTGTTGGCGTATTTTCGACATTTGCCCGGTGCGAGGCGCAGGGCCTCGCCAAAGACACTCCTGGCCCATGTACCAATATCTCCTTAAGCTACCCTGGTTGGGAAGTGACCGACCTGGTTCTCACCAACCACCGGATAGATTTCCGCCTCGTCAATAACGCAGATGCTGATATCAGGACTTCGTGCTCAGGTGACAGCACTGCCCCACCAGTCAGTTACCAGGAGTGCCGGGACAGGCAGACTCAGTTCACCTACGACAAGAAATCATCCGTCCTCGTAATCAACCAAACATGGACCTGCAACGACAGCAACCTCACATTCATCGGCACCGGCACCACCACCCTAGCCTGCCCCGCCAACAACACCACCTGCACCACCCCCAACACCAACCCCCAACCCATCCGCGCCTCCCTCCTCGCCCCCATCCCCATCACCCCCCAACCCATCCCCTTCCCCCCCAGCGCCACCACCCCCAACTGCACCCACCGCTCCCTGACCCCCACCTTCGAAATCACCCACCTCCACTACCAACGCCTCGACCTCGGCCCCCCCTGCAGCCCCGTCTCCGGCACCTGCTCCGGCACCAGCCTCTACTACGGCGAGATCACGTTCACCCTCCGCAACACCGCCACCAACGACACCCGCGCCTGCGCCGCCCAGACCCTCGGCCTCAGCGACCTGCAGGCTATGCCGCGGGACTGGTTGGCGTGCGATGCGGGCGTGGTGTTTATCAATCCCGCGCCGGTGGTGCCGCCGCCGGATTTTGAGACGAGGACGTATTTCTGGTTTGAGCATGCGTCGAATAGGCTGTTGGTGAGGCAGGAGTGGTATTGTGGGGATTTGGGGGGGCGGGAGGAGTTTGGGTTTGTGGCGGAGGTGGAGGTTAGTCCGGCGCTGGATCCGGGGGTGGATTATGTGGGGAATTTGACGGTGCCGGGGGTTGGGGTGGATGCGAGCGCGCCGGTGTTGGTGGTCGAGGGGGGGGTTGTGAGGGAGAGGTTGCCGCCGTATAGTCTTGGGCGACCGCGGGTGTTTGGGCCTAGTTGCACGGTGACGTCGTTGGTTAAGCGGCCGAAGATGTTTCCGATACAGGACTTTTGGTTCGGCACGTATTGGACTAGTGCCGGGGTCCGGACGGGGCACGTGTGGATGTTTGTGACGAACGAAGTGTTCGACACACAGCTCAACTTCGAGTCGGAGGGGACAGCTATGGTGCCGGGAGTTGAGGGCGTTAGTAACCCGGACGTGTGGTACGGCTGCGACGGAGGGAACTCTGCTGCGCCGCCCGTGGCCGGGTTGCTGAACTGCAGCTTTGCGTTTGACAGGACAGCTAATCGGCTGTCTGTGAGGGAAGATTGGGTTTGCGCGGACAAGGACAGCGAGAACCCGTGAGTTGAATCCATGTCGTAACCAATGGGCGGGGTGTTTGGCGGGCTCGTGCTAGTCATGGGTACCAACTAATGCCATTTGTTTAGGATATTGTTCACGGCCATTGGGAGTGGGGTCGTCGATATGGACGACTCGTTGTGCGAGAGATCCGAAGACGAGCCGGACAATCGGTATTGCCCTGGACCTGACCACTTCAATATTGACATCAGAGATTACAGCTGGAGGGTCTGTGACCCAGAAGACAATTGTCCCAAGACCGGGACGAGCTGAATGGGACGAGATAGTTCACTCAGGTTACTACAAAAATGTATCTAATTAGTGTGCCTTATATGGGCTCCCCATCCCGTATAAAAACATTGGATACGCTCATGGAGCTCATGTTCAGCGACAATGTTGAAGTCACTACTTTTGAGCTCGTCCACTGGATGAGTATGACAGGATTGTCCTGCCTGTGTACTTTTATAACCGAACCATCAATCTCGGATTCCCAAAAGGCCTAGTGCGAACCCGGCGCGGACGGTTCTGAATAAGCACACATCCAGCGGATATAATTATCACGCATTGTTTCGAGCGGTTCCTACCGCCGACCAACCAATTCATCTAAGTTTTATACAAAGTCTGGTTATACGATGATGGGCTACACGATACGTCCTGCGACATATGCTGACCTTCCGGCCATCACACGCCTATACCTCGTCAACTTTCGGGACGAACAGTTGATGGACTTGCTTCATCCATTTCGGGTCCAACACCCAAACGATTTTGAGCGTTTTGTCTCCGACATGCTCACCGAGCGATGGTGGGCAGTAGGCACCGAACAATGTGTAGAAGTACTCGTCACAAACGGTGGGACCGTGGTAGGGTTTGCTTGGTGGCGACGGTCATGGACGGACGAGCGGAAGAGAAAAGAAACCGAAGGCTGGCTCACGCCACGTCAGTAATCTCTGTACTCAGAATTGTATGTTCGATTATTTCTAACCTCTTATTTGCAAGGCCGATGGTTGTCGCCCATTACAATAACCCTGATTCGACTGCGCACCAACATCTGGTCATACCGCTGCTCAGACCCAGGGATGAAAGGTGCGGAGAAGCGGGCTTTTTTAACTGTCCACCACTTGCTGCAGGAGCCTCCGGAGCGCCGAAAAGCATGGTCGTTGGTCACGCTCGCTGTCGAACCTGGCCTCCAACGAAAGGGGTTCGGCACGATGCTAGTACGGCGAGGTCTCTCACGAGTAGACGACGAAGATTTGGCAGTTTGGCTTATTTCAAGAGAGGGACTGGAGGATTGGTACGGACGATTTGGATTCGTTGAAAAGGGGCGGGCAAATGTTGGGGAGCTGGCTCGATGGAATGGAGGGGCGGTTATGTTTAGAGAAAAGGAATGATGCTGGTCCGATGGGTGCCAGACTAGAGAGAGAGGAACACTCCACTGTGTTAGTTGATGCACATACATCTGGCCTGTTTCATGCGGTATCTTTCCCCTGAATGCCTAGTACTCCTCAGCCGAGAAGCTCAGGTATGACCGGCTGCGTATTCCGTCACAACTCCGAGTTGAGTAAACGGGCGGTAGACCTCCGATTGCGAGGGTTATTAGTTACATACATCCGGAGCGAGCTCCTTTCTCTTCGTCCTTTTCTCGATTTTCATGAACTTTCCACTTCCTGCCAGGCTTCATAGCACTATGTAATGCGTCGATGTCATCACGGCAATCCTGGCTATCCGCCGGTGCTCGATCAGTGGTCCGACGATACAACCAATGACTCCGTGTTCTAGGGGTTCTGCGACTTAAATTTACCTCAAGCTTTCATTCAACCCATTATTTCGGGATGAAGGGACCGGGACTGTCCATGGAGTTAGTCCAAAAAGGGGCGGTGGCGTTCAGGCACATAACTATTGGCGTTTAGGTCGCAAGCGTGTGTGCGGCCAAGCAAAGTTTTCAGCTCTGTCACCCCCCCTTCACCATTGGCCTTTTTGAATCGCGCCAGCAGCATAGCACCGAGCGATATGAGGTTCTTAGACCCACGCGCTGCCGTATCGAGCCTCCTGGGACGGGTCCGGCGCGTCGGACTTGTATCGCTTAGCTCCCTTGTCGTGAGCGGCGTTAGTGTAATCCTCTTTGCCCAAAACATTTATACCAGCAGACCCAGCGTGGACGTTCCCAATCCTGAGGATTACCGTCAAGCCGTCTTCCATGTTGGCTCAGAGCTCAGCGTGCAATCTTGGCTGGCTGTGCTCGGCGTCGTCTTCGGCATCTTATCCTACGGGTTGACCGCGTCATGTGTGCACTTTTTCGACTGCTGGTGCAGCTGGCGGGCCAGCAGGGTCGGAGGACAAGGTCTCGATTACGCACGTTATCTCAACTCGCAACCACAGGCACCTGTTATGGCAGGACTATGGCACGGTTTTTCACTTTACGTTCTCTGTCGATACATTTTCGTTGCACTTACTATCGCGGCTTCGATCGGTTACAAGTTCGCAGTTATCGAAGTGACGACCTTTGACAATGATCCGGTCGAGAGCAGTCAAGTCCGGCTGCAACTTCCGCCGGTGCGAGGACTTCTCGCCGACGGCACAACAAGTCCGTGGGTTGGCGATTACCCCTTGTCGGTTACGAACCGTGCATTCTTCCACGAGCAAAGGATTTGGACTCCTGAAGGTTACACGACAGGTGACTCGTTCAGAACGCCGCTCAGCATCACTCTGGCTGGTTGGGCAAACTGCAGCGGCTCCTTTGGTACTCTTGATAGAGGATTTCTAGTCTCTCGTGAGATCGTCATGGTTGCCAACGTGACGGAAGATAACACGCCCAACTTCTTGACCTCGGCCGTGGGGAACTGGACGCGGGTGGAGGGAGGTGTAGGCTGGATCCGCGGGGGTACCTCGCGAGCAGTGGTCGAGTACCGCATTCAAAGGCCGGGACAGGTCCAGATCCAGTGGGCTGAGGCAGGGTCGTGGGTAAATGACCCTTCCGACACCAAGGTGAAACCGGTAATAACTCGGCTTACCTACGAAATGCGCCTTGCGGCCGCAGAGGTTAGGCGTCTGGTTGAAAATGGGTCCTGCTCTCGTGTGGCCGATGAATCCGGCAACAGCCCGCAGTTCCTATCGTTCGGGCCAGCAATCACCAGGACAAAAAAGGCCGACGGCACCGTGCCCCTCAACTACAAGCTTCTGGACGCTATCCTTGACAGTGATGACATCGGCCCCCGCGAGGGGGTAAGCATTTTCGTTCAGGGAGTTATGGCGACTTGGGCAGCAGAGTTGGCCGAACTGAATGACAATGGAATTGTTTTTGGGCATGCTCCAGCAGACGCCGAACCCTTTGGGCCAGAAAACAAAAAAGATAGTTGGAACAGGCTTTTGGCGGATTCGAAATTCGGCTACCCCTTCTTCGACGGCCGACGGCATGCCGAGCGGAGAGGCTCTTATTACAATATCGCCGAGATTTTCACCGCGGTGGGCTCCATTGCCATCGTTGTCGCCGTCGCCCGAATTTTGCTCGGGCCCCCTACGCTAACTCAGGGTCCGGATCCATTCCACTGAAATCCACATTGAAATGGAAGTTGCAGTGCAACCCCCACTTTCAATCCATCCACGGAGGGTTGCCGGAGACCCCACCCATTCCATCTGACGGCCGGCAATGTGGACCATTATTGAAATATGTGGATTTCTTAGTCATCGTTGATAAGATAAGCAGAACTTCGCTTTCACCAACATTTCACGCGCCATCGAATAAGGACTGCTGCTTGAGCTCCGATAGTGCACACTAGTGATTTGTATGAAAATACTAACTTTCAAAAAATTCAGGAGTTTTCTTGCCTTAGAAGATGGAAGATTCTAGCCCCACTGACAATCGCGACACCACCACCACCACCACCACCACCGCGTCGTCGGTGCGAACGGTCACAGGAGTGTCTGCTGTCACCGTTCCTGAACGTACTGAAGAAGATGAAGGCTTCCTCTTCAAACGATTTCCCGGCGCTTTGTTGACTGAATCGAAGGGAACTCCGTGGTCGTGGAAGGTCGGCTATGATGTTTTGCGCGAAGGCATCCGGTATTGGGTATGCCATCGCTGTGTTCAGCAACGTAGCAGGAAGCCGACTGCGTACAACGCACGTAACCTTCAGAACGTTGAATATCATCTCCTGCACGCCCATAGAATTACCAACCCTTCTGGTAAGCCGGCGTTGCCTGCCGTCGCTAGTCTCAAATGCGAGAGCAGTACGACGCCGGCGTGGTTCGCGATCTCGATCCAATACTGGCATGGAAGGCAGACGAAACCATGGAAGTGGATGACTAAGTATTTAGAAAATCTTGGCAGTGCAATATATTTCAATCCATTTCCATCTCTGCCTTCGATGGATCAATTCAATGTAGCCCTGGATTATGTAAGGTGCAATTACACTGCAATGTACGGCGAGGTGGGAGGAAATGGATTGATTCCGGACCCTGCGCTAACTTCTTGGATGGGACAACATGTATGTCTCGCTGCGATCGGGGGGTCAGTCGCGCCCGAACATGTTGAAAGGCTACACGGTGGCTATCAAATCGCATCTCGTCAGATGGGTTTCCTCAGGCTCGCCGTGGACAAGAGAGGAGGGACGACGGCCATTGATGACGATGTACCGAAATGATACGGGTTTCTTTTATTAACTAAGTTATTATTATTATTATTTCCTACACCGATATGCCCGTGGGCGTACCGGTCCTTCTACCGCTATTTTTACAAAGGAAACTGTTGGATTCGTCACATGGAACCTTCTTGCGGATACTTGTGTTGGAAGTTGTGGAAATTGAAACACGGAATCTCGACTGCCGATGCGCTAGTTAATGCAAAAGGGATTCCAGGGGCTGAACAAGAAGCATAAAAAGGAGGTCAGGGCGATGCCCGCCACTGAGGAAGACAGAACAATCAATCAATTCTTTTCTCCCCAATCTTTCCGTCTGAGTGTCGTTTCCAACAGAAACCTTAACCTATGGGCCGGACAAAAACCTCTGCCTGCCCCTTCGCGACTACAATGTATGAATCCATCTTACTACGAAAAGAAAGGAGGCCCTTTGCCGGCCTCCGGACTCTCTAGCCCTCTCCCTCCACTGTTTCTAGCTCTAGCCTTCTGGCTAGACTGTACTCCAGTAGCCGGCCAGAGTCCATCAGCCAGCCCAGGACCTTCCTAAGTAGCCTAACGCTCCGGGCACCTACTCCCCGTAGTACGGTTTGTAAGTCCCCATGTGATCGAATCTCCCGGTGTTCCCACGGTCTCTATAACGTTGGGTCAGGGATTCTTTTATTAAGTCTTCACCCAGTTTTGCCGATACTTTCTGAATCATGTAAAGGAGGTACATACCTAATACATCGAGGGGGTTATAGTGAGAATGCCCGACTAGGTATGGAATGTTCAGGACCAACAGTAGGGTTAAATTTGGTGAAGGAAGAAGGCTTTGCATTCGCACAAGATCGTCGGTTCCCTAGACGAGGCGCACTTGCGTAACCCAGGGGCGGTACCTACAAGGAAGGTATGAAACCAAATAAAATGGGGAAGCCTTCATGCGCCCGGCTGACAGCGAGGCACGCGGGCTGTGCGGGGTAAGAATACACAAGCCGAGCACCTTGCACATCATTCCACTTAGCGAGTGGCATGTATCCTTCTTTTTCTCTCACTCGCTTCACGGGCACACAAACCTTACTCACCTGAGGTCACGACATCGCGGTCTATCTCCCCCAAGACAAATTCCGCTCTGGAAACATGGTGGTGAGTGAGAAGTTGACAACACGAGATGCATTCTGCCACCTAAATCAAATGTTCCGACTTCCCAGTTTATGACGAAACGCTGAATCAGAAATTGAAGCAATTCAAGTCGTCACGCGCCAAAGAACGCCTCGACAGGCTCTCTCGCGCATCTAGGGGCACCACCTTCGAGCCCTCTACCGCCTCGCCGGAGCCGACCGAGACGAGCAACGATGCTGTAAAATTGCTGGCGTCGCTTCGTTCGTCAGTCGCGCGGCCCTTCGCTACGCTACGGGGCGCTTCCTTCCTCTCTCCCGCTCCTGGCAATTTTCCTGTCCCTCTCCGGAGGACAATCCGGGTTAGGGTTGAATACGGGAGAGACGAAGCGCCAATATCTGTCCGTCGGCCAGCAACTCCATCCACTTGACCTTCTCATCACACTTATACCAATCATTTCTATTATATTCTAAGTACTCATGCCTCTACACTCTCCTCGTCGCTACTTATAAACCCACTTAACTCCTCTGAAGGATCCACCCCCGCCACAACATCTAACGCCTGCAGTCGCCTAGTAGCGTGATCCAATAACTTCAACCCCATGGCTCGTGATGGTGTCTCGCGATAGACCCTGCTGCGGTCGAAGGGCCGCTCAAACATCAGCCCGCCAAGTGTCTTTACTCGGGAAACGGCCACGTAGGAGAGGCCAGAAGCAAACTCTGGCGCAGAGATATCGCAGACGGCTTTGTCCAGGGTGATGCCCTGTGACTTGTGGACAGTGATCGCATAGCTGACCAACAGCGGGAACTGCTCTCTTGAACATGAGTTGGCGCCGACCATGAAGTCCTGCCGCACTCGGAGGATGGGAACAACCGCGGTTGCAAACGCCGTCCGCCATGAGTTTGATGTCGAACCAACGCTCCTTGCAACGCAGGCATCGCTGCATCTTCTCTGCGGCAAGCGCTTCGTCGAACTCTCTTTTCGTCGCCATGTCTTCGGCTAACAGTGGCGTCTCCTGGTCGTCGCCTGTGAATCGGGGGCCGGGTTCGTCGAATTTACGTGGAGGATTCTCTTCAGGGGGGGGGTTGGTTGCGTGGGCGACCGACAGGATTGCGTTCTAGTCGAGGGCGTCCATAACGGCGTCCGCGAGACCGGGGCAAAGACGCAGACGGAGGGGAACGGCGCTTGGGAGGGCGTCCGCGGCGGGGAAGCTGTGGTGGTGTGTGCTGCAAAGCATCCGCGTCGCCTTCCAAACCCTCTTCGTCAGGCGCTGGCCCGAGCAGTCGCCATATCTGGAGTATCTGTTGCAACTCGGCCGCCTTTGGGAAACATGCTAGCAAGGACGCCGTGCGTGAGGTTCTGGCGAGGTGCGGGCACGAGAGGTCGTAGTGCAGGTATTGGAGCAGGCGCAGAGCTTTCCCGGCCGATTACCTGCAATGATGCAATGCTGGCTCGGGATAACTAACTATGGTATGCTGCGACGGTTTAGGTAAGGCAAAGAAACGAAGTCAGGACAGGGTTTACTTGAAGCTTCCGTTTGTTCCGGCATTCTAAACACTGTATAACTAACAACCTTCCCATTACCGCGAAGGTCATGAAACTGGCCGATGTCTTTTTCGGTGCGGCATCCACGACACATCTTGCGCGCCACCGGTGCGGCGCTGTTGTCCATGATAACTGTCAACCCCGCCCATAGCGGAAGTAAAAGTGTTTCGCGACAATCGACAAACACTTCGTTCGCGAGAAATCAATTGAACGCGCAAGGTGATGAGGCACGGACCCAGGTCCCAAAACTTTGACCAATCCCCGATGGACGATAAGGCAGGCTAAGACCCGCAATTAACTTATCACTTTCCCATAGTAATTTCCAAAAGTTTGAGCGCACTATTGTCCTCCGGACAGGATTAATACCGGGACAGGACCTGGCGGATGACCTCCCACAAGCAATCGAGTCACCGGAACCACCGCTTCACAAGCAGGGCCTTTCCCTCGTGTATTCGCCGCCGTCCGAGCCTCTGGCGGATCTGATTTTCGTCCACGGCCTGGGAGGCACATCTATCGGCACTTGGTCCTGGCAAAAAACCCCGCCCACTTTTGGCCGCATTGGCTCGCTCAAGATGCAGAACTCACGAGAGCCAGGACCTTCACGTTCGGGTACCAGTCTGACGTCAGGCAAAATACTTGGCTCTCCATTTCTGATTTCTCCAAACATTTGTTGGTCTCAATGAAGCAATGGGAGTTTGGAAGCGGAGCGATCAACGCAGCTCCAATAGGGAGGGTTTGTTATCCACGAGCCTCCCCCTTCGAGATCAAATCTGCCGCTAACATTTCTCACCAGTATCCTGTCATTTTTGTTGCGCACTCTCTTGGTGGGCTGATAGTGAAAAAGGTTGGTTTAATTACCCCTGCTTCCCATCCGCCTTCGGCCCTTAACTCGCGGTATGTGTATAGGCATACCTGTTGGCCAAATCAGACGGCCATTATCAAAACATTGTCTGTCAGATCCGGGCCATCGTGTTTCTTGGGACGCCACATAAGGGCTCCGCTCTCAGCCAGACTATTGGCAGCGTTTTGGGGACATTCTACTCGAGCGTGTCGTCCCTGGCCGTCTTCGATGCCGCAAATATTGGGTCGATCATGGGGGGCATCGACGACCAATTCCGCACCGACTGTGTTGACCTGCAGCTGTTTTCGTTTTATGAAACCAAGAAAACCCAAATGGGAATTGTCAAGAATGTGGTATACGGCTTGTCCTCTTTTAAATGGCATACCACCAGTGCGCCTCGTTTTCCCGGAGCGTGTTTTTCTTCTACCCCCGGTCATGGTCCTGTAGCCTCTCCCTCTTTGTGTTCCGCTTGTGCTGTTCGGCCCTCTCAACTTTTGGCGCTAACAGAGATATCTATCCAGATCGTCGAGAAAGACTCTGCTGTCTTGGGACTCCCCTCTGAAGTTTCGAGTCCCTTGGACACCGACCATCGCGGGTTATCGAGGTTCAGCTCCGTCGATGACCCAAATTATCGACGAATCCGAAACTGTTTACGAGGAGTTGTCGTGCGCATCAGGTCAGAAGTCCAGACAGAGACAAAAGCAGCATCATCGCCCCAGATATCTCTGATACGAACTCCATGGGGTATGTGTTGATAATAAATATTGAACGGCTGTTCATCAAACCCGCGATTATTAACCACCTAATCTAACAATAGACGTCATTGCAAACCGAAACCGGCACTTTACTGGGTGTCGACAGATTCTTCAGATGCTGCACGAGACGCTTGATCGAAACCAACATGAACCAGCAAAAGTGGCGCCAGTGGTTGTTCTTTATGGTGTGGTAGGCGTAGGGTAAGCCTTTCCATCATATTGCGCGGCCCGCTGAATGGCTAACCATGTGAAGTAAAACCGAAATCGCACGGGAATACGTCAATCAACTTGAATCACCTTACGTCGTGTACTGAATCATGTGCGAAGATTCAAAGTCAGTCACGGAGAGCTACAGATCTTACGTCCAGGAGACTTCTGAAACGCCCGCCGAGGTTCTCGTTGAGAAGTTTGCGCAACAAGTTCGAGAACTGGAGAAGCCATGGTTGATTATCTTCGAGAATGTCGAAAATATAGAAGCTGAAGCCTTCCAGAGACTCGGCCCTGAGGGCCTGCAATTGCACATTGGCAAAGGCCGTGGGTCGTTCCTCGTGACGACTCGCTCCCCCGGTCAGCATCGGATATTGGGCGGCTCAACTGAGACCCGTATTGAAGTTAAGCCCATGGACAGAAAAGAAGCAGAGGAGCTACTCCTGCATTCTTTGGGCACGAGCAACCACGACCCAGCCGAGATTTCCGCTTTTATAGAACTCACGGGCGGCCTGCCCCTGGCTTTGGCGGCGGGAAAGATGTATTTTGCTGACAGAACTCCAGCACTCGCTCCCGACGTACAATACTCCTTTGAACAAATATTCCAGCTATTGCCGTCTTCGTCGGCCGAATATCTTTCGTGCCTAGCGTGCTTGCAAGCTGATGGGATTCCCACCATTCTCCTCGAGGAGTATCAGAGACGTGCCTCGCTGACCACAGAATGGGAAGAAGCGGAGCAAATATTATTAAGATCGTTTTCAATTACACGTCAGGCCGGATGCCAAATCACCATCCGCCGAATCCTGCAGCAAAGCGTTCGAGACTGGCTTCGGAAACAAGGCCGGCTGGAGTTTGTTGCTGGTTTAGTGATGGAGACTGTGGCAAATGTCTATTTTGCCACGGCTTACAGCGACCAGAAGTCTTTTGAGGATCCATACGCCCAACACGTGGAGGCAACCATGAAAATTCCATCAACCTTTTCATACAACTCATTGGAAACTCTCGGCGCAAAAGCGCGGCTCTTTCATGCGAGGGGCACCTTTCTCCTCTCGAATGATATGCCTGCATCCGCCGGGGAGGCTCTTCGCGCAAGCTTGAGAATCTATGACAGCCTGCCTGACTCCAGGCACCAGCAACTTGCATTGGTATCACGCCTGGCAACTGCTTGCTGGGCTCAGGGTCTAGATGACGAAGCTAAGGCACTCCAAGGCCGTTTTCAGGAAGCGGAAATCCGGCCGACACGTTCTGGGGAACGAGTAATGGACACAGCAGAGGCAAACCACATCGAAAATTCGGTCCACAATCAAGAGGCGGACGCGGTCGAGATCGAGTCGGTCCTTTCCAATCTCCCCAGCCTCACGGCAGGAAGTACAATATCTTCGGCGTTGACCCTCACGCTGATAGAAGATATCAAAGCCGATGTTCTGACGATTCTCACCAAAGACGAAGACCTCCACCAATTGTTACGAGAAACTCCGAAGAGGATCACGCATGAAAAGTTCCAGAGGAACTTTCTCCGCCTTTTCCGTGCGTTCCTCTCGGATATTCGGAAGCAGTCGAATAACGGGGAGGTGGAACTACGTCAGGTAATCCGCGTCCTCCGATACCAGTCCCGCAACATCGCGAGCCATATTTGCCAGGAGATATTCGATCTCAAAGAACACTCCGAGGCGCTGTTATCGCTTGCCCAGCAGATACCCGACAAAGGCGGCCAGCTAAGAAGCTTCTTTAGAAATGACAGGTATTACAGACAGCACAATGACATAGCAAGTGTGGCCGCTGACCAAAATGAGCAGCAGCATCCTTGAGCTAGCCGGTCCTCCGAAAGATGAGCGTCTGGAGGACGGCGAGTCATCTGGAGGTGAGTCAGATGGGCCAGAGGCGGTTCGATCCCATTCCGTCCCGCTCGGGGACCTCGAGATCATCATTCTGGAATCGAAATCGTTCTTGACGTTCCGCGAGCGGTACCGGGCATTCCTCTTTCCGTGTCCCGATCCGCAGCCTTTGGAGAAAGTCATTCCAGCGGACGGCAGCGATCCCAGGGCCGATCCAGACGACCAGCGGATAGCACCTGAGACCCCGGCAGAATCGCGTGAATCTGCGTGCGGACCAACGGCGCAGTCAAGCTTATTTGAGGAAGGGTATTCCTTTGTAAGAACGCAAATACGGCGCTTGATACGGCTCCGTGTTAAAGAGGGATGGGTAAGGATCCAATGGCGATGTGTACGTGACTGCTCCCCACCCTACTAGTCGTTTTTCTTGTATTGTGGCTGACCATCGACGTTTAGGACTGCGGCGACGAGCTTTACGCGGATTTCCCCGAATCGGAGGCCGACTCGGTCCGTCAACTAGAAGCGTATCTCCAGGACCATAGTACCCACGCCGGAGGTGGCACCGCTCCCACCCAGACCAGTCATTCGCCAGGAGGAGCAGCGGCACTGACACCGGCGTCCCGATCTCCCCTTTTACAACCGCCATCACAAACCCCACCGAACAACACCGGTCAACCCGCAAGCCAAAACCAACTACCAACCACCACTGGAGGGGCCACCCAAGCCAACACACCCGCCATCCAAGCCACCAAACGCTTCCTCGAGCTGTGCGTCAACACGGGCGAATTCCAGCGCCAGCTCGCCGAGATCGACATCAGCACGGTAACCAACGACGCACAACTCTTCGACTGCATCCGCGAGCGCTACCACGAAGTGCGCAGCTTCCGCACGCGCTTCTTCCTGCTCAAGCCGGTCGACGTGCACTTTGTACAATTCTCCGTCGAGGACCGCCACCGCGTTGCCATTTTAGATAAGCCGCTGGCCATCCCGTCGGCTGCGGAGATGGCCGCCGAGGGGTATGCGTATTACCCTTGTCCGCTGCGGCCGCCGCCGATTCCGCCGAATATCTTTTTGCATCATTTGGCGAAGCCAGGGAGGCATCCTAGGTTGGTGTGGGGGAATCGGATCCCGCAGAAGTTGCATAGGAGTATTTTGCAGGTTGGGATGGGGGATGATTTGGTGGTGGGGGTGGGGGGTGCATATTATTGAGGGATTGAATAGGATGACTGTGCTTGTGTGCTCGCTGGTGGGGTTGGTGATAAGTGGCATTGTGGGTTCAGATTTGGGTTGTTTACCTAGGTAATTTGCCTAGGCACTTTTCTTGGTACAGAGGGCGAAGCGATATACTCATATTTTTGTTTTTTGACCGAAAGAACGAGATCTTGTTGCATATCAGAATTGTCGTGGGTACTTTGTGCGCATGTTTGTTGATCCATAGGCCCACTGGGCCGGAGCTTCTGGTAAAGTTGGAGGCCGAGACAACGCCGGAGCCGGTTGCCAAGCCG